TATTGGGGTGGGGGGACTTAGCTCTATTTTAAACTAGAGGGATGGGAGCTTAGACCCATCCTTCTCGAACGGTCATAATTTTCTGTTGTCGAATTGCCATTTTTTCCTATTTATCCACTTTTGTCATTTTTACCGCTGCCATTTTTACCGAGCACCAGAGGTCACCACATGAAAGAAAGAAGCACCGACAGCTAAACCACAATCGGAAGGTAGATTCAAACCCCAGGAGAAAAATAATTTTAGCCGCTTCCAGAGAAGAATTTCAACGAAACCACAACATTCAAGTTTAACTTTTTCAGTAAAGGACAAAGTCCACGTGACACCATTCTTTTCAAACTACAACATCCCTTTGTGCTAAGACATTCCTATTCCGTTGTAGAAATTAGGTGAGCGCGCTTTTGTATTTTCTGCTTTGTAAAATTTTTGCTTCCTCTTTTTTTTTGCTTTTCACTCTTTTATAAAAATTTTATTTTATTTGTAAAACAATGTTAAAGATCTATGTATAATCGTCTATGTTGTTTTTATACACGTTTTGAGAAAAGTGTATTCTTCTAAAGGACTAGACGGTTTGTGTGTTTTGTGCATTTTTTATGACCTTTTAGGCTCAAGCGGTGAATCGACAAAATTGTTTGAGGTTTTTTGGATTTATTTTTTTTAATACTTGGAGAGGGTTATATATATATATATGTGTGTGTGTGTATATATATTTGCCAATTAGAAACAAGTTTGGCTGGAACCGATATCACGGTCAATTTTTCAATAAAAAGGACTGCATATCAGCGATCTAACGGGCAGAAGGCTTAGGCAGATCAGTGAGGGAAGAACTGCCAGGAGACAAGGATTTGCCGTTGATGAGAATGGAAAGAGCATAACACCCCACTTCAAAGGACGGTCCTGGCAGAGGTCGTAATCAGACATGACAGTTACAAGGCAGATTCATACACCAGAAGATTTCACACCCAAGATACAAGTGAAGTTGTAACAAAATTTGAAGAACCCAGTAGAAAACAGCTTGAAAATACAAAAAAATAAAAAACACCTTCCAGTTGAGACGTCCTGTTTCTTCTTACTATTAAGAACAAAGGAGGGTGCTGTTTCTTCCTACTATTAAGAACAGAGGAGGGTGCTGTTTGAAAAAATTTCTGCCTTGTGCCGTTTTGTCAGTTCTTTTTTTTGCTTTTTTTCTATTTTTGAAGGGATTAATTTTTGTACATGAATCTGTTTCCTGAACTAATTGCGACATATTTTTGTATGTGAATCTGTTTCTTATGTAACAATTTTTTTTTCTTGTTTCTATGGGTAATCACCTTTTTTGTTACCCCAGGAAGAGGCGCACAAATTCAAATTTTTGTGCAACTCTTGTATTATACTTTTCGAATTTATAAATTGTAAATAAGTGTGTTGTTCCTTTTAAAATTTTATACAGTAGTCGTTTTGTTTCTTAAGCTGCGCCTATTTTCGAAAGTTGCTGTTTCTACCAAATTAGTTTTGTGTCTGGCACAAGATCTTGGGGTTGGTAGGAAAGCAGCATTTTTATACTTTTTCATTTTCAAAAAGTGTATCTTTTTTGCCTTTTGTATTTGATTGTTATTCAAGCCTTAGTTTTTGCATAAGGCAAACAAAAGGAAATTTTTGTGCAACGCTCTTGTATGCAGATTTTATATTTGTTTTCTGCAATAAATGGTTGTCCGTTTGTCCTTTTAAATTTCGCGTAATAGTTGAGTCTTATTTGCTTTGTGCCTTATTCAAACTTCAGGGATAAGAGAAGTACGTGTTTTCTTTTCCTTTTTCCAAATTAAAATTTTTACAAGGTTTTATTCCAATTCTAATCATTACTTTTTAAAACAATAAACATTACCGTAGAGTAAAAGCGGTGTCACGAGAAAAACCGTTCCTTTGACACGTCTTACTGTGGGCACGTTTATCTACGTCGAAATCTCAATCAGATTTATTTTCAAATTTTCCTTTCTTTTGTCTATCAACAAGACAGTCGAGTAGGAAATTTCGTCTCATTCTCATAAAAAAATCAAGATAAAAAAAAGCCTGATTAAAGAGCCTTGTGGTTTATTTTATTTTGATTTTTGTTTTCAACCGTTGTCGGCGAGGATAATCTGAAACTATTTTAATTTGCTTGTAAACGTATTGTTGGGTTGCGAAACGATCTTATAATTTTCGGATTTGTTTTGGGTGCGTATTCCCGCTGCTTAAAATTTAAATCTATAGTTTTAACATCGGAGTACTGACAGGGTTTTATCTACGACAAAAGGAGAACGGAAATACCTTATGGCGAATTTAAACGTGTTCGTTATGCTTTTAAGTCAGAGAAAGCTCGGAGCGCCTTTTTTCCTTTGATTTTTAATGCAATGGCATCATAGTTGCAGTTTATTGCTGACGCTATATTTTATACTCATTTATTTATTTTTATGGCACTACATAAATTGAATGATCCGCTCGTAAAAAAATGTAGGAAGGAATTTGGGGGATATTTTTTTATAGATAAGCATTCAGTATACGTTCATCTGCCAACGATATTTGTTAGAATAAAAAAAAAAATATTGATTTTTTTTTTATCATTTTAGAAATGGTATTGCTATGAAGTAGAGTAATTTCTGGAATAGTCGTTGTCAGGTCAGCAGATGGTAACTCGACTAGCATTCGCTGTGGGGGTTCTGCTTTTATAGCACTATCTTATTTACATCCAATACTACACATCCCTGAATCGAAATGGCCTTATGCCCTTCGTTGAACTTTGACTTTTTCTAATTATTATTGGCAATCTGAACTGTTTTTCTTTGTGTGTATCTTGATTTCTTCTTATAGGGGAATTAGGTTTGAGTTCATTTTCCTCTTCCGACTTCTCGTCACATTTTTGGTCATTTTCATCCATACATTGTTCACTTTCATTACTGGATTCATTAGTCCCCTCCTTCCTTTTCATGTTCTTCACCTTCAGATTCATCGTCCATTTCTATGTCCACGGGTTCCATTCTGCTTCCAAATTGGTCCACATGGTCCAATACATTTTGTCCATTTTTCAATAGTATTGCTGTGTTGTGTCCTTTCTCTACTACAAAGTTTGACTTCTCTGGATTAGATTCTTTGTCTTTTTTATACCATACACTTTCACCTGATGAAAATGACGTTTTTATGGGAGCTCTAATCTGTCTACCCATTAATGCAGAGAAATTTGTAGCCTGACGGCATGTGGAATTGTCCTATAGCTCTACAGTAATCTTGGTAACTCTCTGTATTTATCTATGTTTTATAGACACACGCAAAGGCGTGCGACAAAGTACGCCACAAGAATCTGCTGGAACTACTCAGCAACCTTGATACATTCGGGAAAGATATTAGAATAATCAAGAACCTATACTAACAGAAGACGGTATGCATGTGCATTGAGAATGAGTTCAGCAAATATACAAAGGAAAAATATACAAAAATAGAAAGAGGCGTTAGGCAAGGATGTGTCTTCTCACCAGACTTATTCAACCTATACAGCGAAGTAATTCCGAGAGAATTGGAGATCCTACCGAGATTCAGCATTAGTGGCCACAATCTTATCAACATAAAATACGCAGATGATAAAGTACTGATAGTAGACATGGAAAAGAAACTACAAAACTTCCTACAGAAGATAGCCAGGGAGAGCGAGAAGAAGGGACTAAGCATAAACTCCAAGAAGACAGAATGCATGTTCATCAGTAAAACGATGAGCCAGAAATGCAATTTGAAGGCCGAGGGCACTAACATCAAGCATATGCGGAAGTTTAAATATCTGGGAAGTGTTTTGACGAAGGATGGTAGGTGCGACGCTGAGATCCGAAGACGGATTGGGATGGCCAAGGATGCATTCCAAAAGCTGGGCAGAGTACTACCAGACAGGAGGATTTCTTTGGTGACAAAGAAAAGAGCACTGAGCTGCTAGGTGACATCTGTCCTCCTCTACGGCAGCGAATGTTGGACGGTCTATTCAAAGCTAAAGAAGAGACTCGAGGCAGCGGTGATGTGGTTCTACAGAAGGATGTGAAGGATATCATAGACCAAGCGTGTGATCAATGATGAAGTCTTGGAGAGGATGCAAACAAGGAGGAAACATATACTTAACATCAGGAAGGGGCAGATGAAATTTCTGGGACGCGTAATGAGAATGGAGGGCTTGGAGAATCTAATACTCATAGGTCGAATGGAGGAGAAAAGAGACAAAGGAAAGCAACGCGTGACATACCTGGCGGGTTTAAGCAAGTGGATGGCAGAACGTCTGGGGGAGTTGGCAGAGGTACGAAACTTATTGAGAGCCACAAGGGATAGGGGAAAGTGGAGAGCCGTGATCGTCTACGTCCTGAAAGGACACGGCACATAAAAAGTAAAAGAACTCTTTATATTATCATTAGATGGAGAAAACTCTTTTAATCCCATTTTCACAGTCTGCACCATTCTTTATGCGATTCCATTTAATTGTGGGTGGTAGGGTTGTATTTTATACAAGACGCATCTAATACACTTTCCTCGCAAAATTCCGGAAAGTTACCTGAGACCAAAGTTTTAGGTACCCCATTCTTTGAAAATACTGTTCTTAATATTTGTTTACAACGGTAGCTTTTCAATTAGCAACCTTAACTGCATCGGGCCATTGTGAAAATGAGTCCACTAAAATTAAAAATAGCCGCATGCCTTTAATATGGGTATGGTTCATGTGTTATCTAGCCCATGGTTCTTTTTCTTTAGGCCACAATGCACGGTTCATGTGTACCCGAACCTACGGTTCTTTTTCTTTAGGCCACAAAGCATGGTTCATGTGTACCCAAGCCTATGGTTCTTTTTCTTTAAGCCACAAATCATGATTCATGTGTACCCGAGCCCACGGTCCTTTTTCTTTAGGCCACAAAGCATGGGTCATGTGTACTCGAGCCAACGGTTCTTTTTCTTTAGGCCACAAATCATGGTCCATGTGTACCCGAGCTCACGGTTCTTTTTCTTTAGGCCACAAAGCATAGTTCATGTGTACCCAAGCCTATGGTTCTTTTTCTTTAGGCCACAAAGCATGGTTTATGTGTACCCGAGCCCACGGTTCTTTTTCTTTAGGCCACAAAGCAAGGTTCGTGTGTACCCAAGCCTATGGTTCTTTTTCTTTAGGCCACAAAGCATGGTTCATGTGTACCCAAGCCCACGGTTCTTTTTCTTTAGGCCACAAAGCATGGTTCATGTGTCCCCAAGCCTATGGTTCTTTTTCTTTAGGCCACAAAGCATGGCTCATGTGTACCCAAGCCCACGGTGCTTTTTCTTTAGGCCACAAAGCATGGTTCATGTGTACCCAAGCCTATGGTTCTTTTTCTTTAGGCCACAAAGCATGGTTCATGTGTAACCAAGCCTATGGTTCTTATTCTTTAGGCCACAAATCATGGTTCATGTGTACCCGAGCCCACGGTTCTTTTTCTTTAGGCCACAAAGCATGGTTCATGTGTACCCGAGCCTATGGTTCTTTTTCTTTAGACCACAAAGCATGGCTCATGTGTACCCAAGCCTATGGTTCTTTTTTTTTTAGGCCACAAAGCATGGTTCATGTGTGCCCAGCCCACGGTTCTTTTTTCTTTAGGCCACAAAGCATGTGTACCCAGCCTATGGTTCTTTTTCTTTAGGCCACAAAGCATGGTTCATGTGTACCCGAGCCCACGGTTCTTTTTCTTTAGGCCACAAAGCATGGTTCATGTGTACCCAAGCCTATGGTTCTTTTTCTTTAGGCCACAAAGCATGGTTCATGTGTACCCAAGCCTATGGTTCTTTTTCTTTAGGCCACAAAGCATGGTTCATGTGTACCCGAGCTCACAGTTCTTTTTCTTTAGGCCACAATGCATGGTTCATGTGTACCCTAGCCCACGGTTCTTTTTCTCTAGGCAACAAAGCATGGTTCATGTGTACCCGAGCCCACGGTTCGTTTTCTTTAGGCCACAAAGCATGGTTCATGTGTTCCCGAGCCTACGGTTCTTTTTCTTTAGGCTACAAAGCATGGTTCTTGTTTACCCGAGCCTACGGTTCTTTTTCTTTAGGCCACAAATGAATTTTGTTTTGCCCGAAGTTTCTTTTTTTATTTCAGCACATTTGGGTATCTTTTTACATAGTCTTCTTCTACATCTCTAGAATATCCTGGACACCACACTTGTAATTTTAATCTTATTTATTTCACTGTTATACCACAATATACATCATCGTATACACTTCTTTGCTTAAACTTTCTTGGGGTGTTATAATATCGCCATTGCATATTATACCTTTTTCTATACAGTTAACTTATACTTTGATTCTTCGTATGGCCTTTCTACCTTTGAACAATTAATCCATGTGTTTCTTTTTATTGTGTCTGAAATTCTACTTAACACTATTTCCATTCTGAGACGATTTAGTGGTGACATGTCCGTTTCAACCCAGTGAAGTGTTTTATCTTCTGACTTTTCAGACGTTTCTAATTTTTACTGTCGAAATTTAGTCTGAATAGCACATCCACGTATGGAATAGTGTTCCTCTTTACGTATATGATGTTGAAATAAAATTCCATATCCTTACTTACTGTTGAAACTTGACTAATACATGGAATAATAATGCAACACAAAATGTACTTAGAACAAAATGTATTGAAACAAGAAAGTGTACACAATATTTACATATAGTCTTTTGTATATTCCTGGTAAGACCGTTCCTGGAGAATGTGTTGACTTAGTCGCAGTCGGGCAGAGTCTCTGGATTGAATCTCTTGATTCCTCCCCTCTCTTCCCGGTACCAACCATATTTATATGGCCGGTACTCCACTATGCAAATTAGGTTTTTTTTTGTATCTCAAAAAGCACGTCTGTTATTCAATAACACCTTCGGGTCCCTGTATTTTAATGTAGAAAAATATTTTGATGGTAGGCTTTGTTGCTGAGTATATCGAAGTATTTCACAAGTTAAAGCACAATAAAGATAAAATGTATTCTCTTCATTTATCTTCGAGAAAGCTAATTTTTTTACGGCCTTTAGCTGTCATATCTCAAACTGTCCCGGTAATTCTTCTTTTTAGTGTCTTCATCGTTATTTTCAAAACATGTCGAAACCTTCTTTCTGAATCTTACAGCGTCTCTTTCAATATTCTAAATATGAAGTTTTCCCTTAAGGATGCACACCTATATTTCATAGATTATACAAAAGCTTTTGATAAAGTATGCCACAAAGAATATTTTGGAACTGCTAGGTAACCATGGCATATTTGGGAAGGATATTAGAATAGTGAAAAGCCTATACGATGCAAACCACCTGCATACTGATAGAAAATTAATTCATTATATATACAAAATTAGAAAGGGGTATAAGACAAAGATTCGTCTTCTCATCGGACATTCAACTTATATATTTTAAGCCGATTCTGAGAGAATTAGAAGTCATATCAGGATTCAATATTGTCGACCACTGTCTTAACAACATCAGATATGCAGATGACACTGTGTCGATAGCAAAAAGGAAACTACAAGAACTCCTACTATGACACTATGTGACATTGGTCGAATTAAAGGGGTTAATGTAAAAAAGTGTGCTGAAATCGCTACGATATATTCCGTGTTATTCACTAACCGTGGGAATTAAAAACGGAATTGGGAAATAATATTAGTTTTATATCTGCCAACAAAAATAAGTTGCGAGGGGCAAACTGAAATATAATTGTGGAAATATAAACAACATGGGGAGACAAAACTTTATCTGTCACCCGAATAGGAAATTAAAATTAGAAACGCACTTGTAAGGTCGGTATGATAACCCGAGGGCTGTGGAAGCGTGATGGGTGGTTGGGGTGTAATAGAACAAACCAGACCAAAGGGAGGGAAGTTATATTTGTTAAGGAAGATCAATAATTAAAGTAAGACCGCCCACTCTGTTTAAAATTAGAATTGTCAAAAAGATAGTCAAAATCTCCCCGTGGTGATAGTCTCAGATGGCATACCGAGAGAGAAGGAGAAAAGGGTTAAATTTGCCGCCGCCATTTTGGAAGTTATGGTGCGAGGCATAAATAAGAGAAAGTATGAGTTATAAAGGTGGGGTAATACCGCAACTAAATCCGAAAGTAAAGGAATTACAGAAACCCCCAGACCAGTTCGAATCCACACCAGTCTTGGGTCGGATTAAATATAAGGAAATCATGTTGACGACTCAGAGAGGGTTTTCAGAGAGTTCGAGAGAAACTCGAAGGGCAGACGAGCTGGTATCAAAACCCTGCATGATATGTTGCTGGGAGAATTTTCGACTTTGAACCTCGTTCCAACATTTAGAAGAACAAACTGTCACTATAGAAATTTAAAGAGGGAAGAGCTGATTTTTATATCAAGAACTATATAAACCAATTAAAAACTAATCCGACGAATCTTCCGTTTTTATTTCGCCTACGAGAAGATTTTTTATTTCTTTCATAATACAGCTTCGTTGTGGCTCGAACCAGCATTCCGAATTACCGACGACATTCGATCTTCACTGATCAAAGAACACAACGTGGGAAAGGACGGCGTGGATCGAAACGGCCAGCGACCAGCATCAAGTTGACCGACGACGGTACTTACCCGCGTAGTGTTGACCCAGGATCGATCGAGACGTGCGTGTTATAATTGGTTGTCGGTGACAAGAATCGACACGTGTTGTTATAATTGTTTGCCGTGATTAAAAGACCTTAGACATATTGGAATTATATTTGGTGCTCGTAACCAAAGGATTTGACCCTGGGTTGCTGACGTTAGAAGGTAGTGAAGGAATGCAAGAAGAAAGGATTAAATATGCAAGAAGAAAAAATGCATGATTGTGAGCAAAAGGAACAGCCCACCATGCAAATTGAAAATAACGAAATCAAAAACATACAACAATTTAAATATTAAGTGTTATAACAGAGGACAGATAGTGCGACAACGAAATCCGAAGACGCATTGTGATAGCGAAAGAAGCCTTCTAAAACCTAAGCAAATATTAAGAAACAGAAGAGGAACATCTCGTTAGAAACAAAGAAAAGAGTACTTATCTGTTTGTAATATAAGTCCTCCTATATGATAGTGAATCTCATCGTAGTTTAAAAAAATGGTTTTTGTAGCAAAAATGTAGAGAATGCTGAGAATACCATGGATTGAACATGTGAGCAACGACGAAGTTTTAGAGAAAATGGAAACAAAAAAAGGACACTTATACTTAACATAAGAAAAGACAGTTGACATTTTTAGGGCTCATAATGAGGAAAAGGGACCTGGAAAATTTTACACTCACAGGACATATTGAAGGCAAGAAGGGTAACGTCAACGTGGTGTAATGGTTAGCAAGATTATTTCGCTAGATCAATTACAGCTGAATAGTGAGTTTGATTCTCACGGAGTGCCTCATACTTTCGGCTTTTTTCCACATCTAAGCTACGCTAAAGAACACTGGGCAACTCGATGTGGTGTAATGGTTAGCAAGCTTGCATCACTAAAACCATTACAACTGCGTAGTGAGTTCAATCCTCCCTCGGTGCCCTATACTTCCGACCTTATGCCAAATCTAAGCTGCGCTTAGAAAATCACCATATTGAGGGCAAGAAGGTCAGAGGAAAATCACGCAATATCATACCTAACGAGCTTGTATAAATGGATGACAGAACAGGATTTAGGAGAGATAGCAAAAAAAAAAAAAATACTAAGAGATACAAAGCATAGGAAATCGTGGAGAACAAATAGTTACAATACCTTGTCGCATCCAGCAGTTTGACAACCGGAAGTGAATTAGCTTCCTTGTCCAACAATAGTCTTATTACATATTTCTTTTTGAATTCTGATAAAAGCTTTAATTTTTCGGGAATCTTAAAAACTTTATGAATAGTTTCTAAATATTCATAAGAACCTTTGCTCATAGAAAAGATGATTTCAAACCATCGATTTAATTTTTTAAGTAAAGAAATAAGAGAGACGAGCCAAGTTAAGTGACTGTACTGGCATTAGATCGTCGGGGTAGATGTTGTTATAGTATCTGTTCCGGTCCAGGCTCTCTTCCCCAACCCAACGCTGCCCGGACAAATTCCTCGGATCTTTTCCGTAGCGTAGTTTTTTGACTGGCTATAACTAGCTAAGACTATAGGCCTGAGTGGGGACACTCGTGTTCCCATCGTTAAAACAAACTGACCTTGAGTCGCATCCTGACTCAGCCAGGATTCAAAGGTAAATATTTCGTGCTCCTTCTCCTGCCTGGCTCCTGATAGATTTTGTTGTTTCTGTTCCGTGCCAAACCGACTTCTCGCTACTTGGACGTCTCGCCGCAGCTGAGATGGTGGTGTAGTATCTGTTCCGTGCCAGGCCGACTCCTCCTCGCTACTTCGACGTCTCGCCGTGGCGGAGATGCTGTTGTAGTATCAGTTCCGTACCAGTCCGATTCCTCCTCGCTACTTGGACGTCTCGCCGCGGAGGAGATGCTGTTGTAGTATCAGTTCCGTGCCAAGCCAACTCCTCCTCGCTACTTGGACGTCTCGCCGCGGAGGAGATGCTGTTGTAGTATCAGTTCCGTACCAGTCCGATTCCTCCTCGCTACTTGGACGTCTCGCCACGGAGGAGATGCTGTTGTAGTATTTGTTCCGTGCCAAGCCAACTCCTCCTCGCTACTTCGACGTCTC